ATGGCAAACAGGTGTGCAGCAGTTTTAGCTGTTCGAGGAGACCACACGCCCTACTAAAACTCATGCATCATGTCTAAACAGTACCTTTTTTTATCGTTTACATGTAACCAAATTTTGCCCTAAATCATCTTTTCATGTTTTTTTCATATTTTCAAAGAATTAAAGCTTAATTCCGAATTTTTTTTACGCCTTTTTTCTGTATTGCGCATTGATACGCGTGTACTATGCATTGTATGCCAATACGTGGCTGTCTCACACGGTTTTCTTCACTTTTTTGCTTGCTCCCCTAATTGTTTTGAGCAGTGTAATTAGGACTAGATGCTGAAGACATGATGCGTTTCAAGCTGAAGACTGGTCAATTTACAACACAGTTTTAAAGTGTTGAGTTTCTTCCCGTAATCTACGGAATAACAAACATTATAAAATCCCAAAGAGTTATGTTCAAAGCCGCATCCACCTACCTCTGTTACGTAAAGTGGAGCAATCTTCACTGACATCACACTTCGCCAATAATGCCGGACGAGGCATTACACGGGAAATTACTCAGACGGACGCCTAGAGACGCTGAACACTAGATGTAGGAGAAAGAAATTCGCCATTAGTGTTTAATGTATCATTAATTATTTCGTTGTTAATAAATCATTGTAATTATCATCATATGGTTGTAGTCATTTTCTTTCTCCCATACACACTCTCCTCCGAAAGCCTGCGTACAGACACAATCATCTTTCATATTCATACGAAGATCGCTAATTAAGTGAAGTCTTTTTTTTTCATTAATGCAATTTTTTATTGATTCCTCTAACATCGTAAATTCAAATAGTATCAGCAGCAATCACCTGATTGTTAGATAAAATAATACAAATATTTATAACTTGAGAACGACACAAATCGTGTGCGTCAAAATTCTGCGTATACTGGAGGAAACATTTACAATAATGGATTGTAACTAAAAGTTAATACAGGGTGGCCATAATTAAACTGCATTTGTTCAAGGGGATCTGGAGAGAAAACTACCGGGAATATTCCAGTGAAATTTGGCATCTGCACGTTTCAGAACATACGCAAGTCAAATATGCAAGAAAAGGAATCGCCATTTTCACCCGATAGATGACGCTGTACCATATTTTAACGCTCACCAGTGGCATGTACAACTTCCAAAACCGAAAGGCAGAGCATAATGACATACTAGGAGGTATAAACAATATAAAACATCCCTTACAGTTTATCAAAATTCCGTACAATCCGCATCAGTAATTAAGTTTTTACAGTATCATGTAATCAAAAATTAACGTAAATTAAGATCACAATTTAAAAATCCATAAAGACGTTTTGGAAAACAATTAAACCATTATTTATTCAAGGAAGTTATCATATGATGTACTCAATATGCGAACCATTAGATGCACCCACATGCTGAACACGTAAAACAGTATGGTCCACCGTCGCATTTAAAATCTCTGTTGTAACACACCTCACGTGTCGCGTTATGCTAGATTTCAGTTCAGCAACAGAAGCATGTCTTTCTCTATAAACCATATCTTTCAGATGTCCCCACAGATAAAAATCGCAAGGATCAAGGTCCGGTGAACGTGTGCGCCAAACGTTTTCGAAACCTCTACTTAGACTCGGTGCACACCAAAGGTATCATGTAGAAAATTGTTAACAAGTTTAGCGATGTGAGGAGGTGCTCCGTCCTGCATAAATATCGTGGTTTCTAAACAATGTCTGTCTTGCAATGCTGGAATCAGTTGTTCTTTTAACATCGCACCGTAGCTAGTCCTTGTTACACTGCAGTGTTTGGGACCACTTGGGGTCTCAAAGACTCACAAGAAAACCACTAGTCATTCCGCATAATTGAATAATTGCAACCATTCTGATAGAATATCTTCACTAACACAATGCACGTTCCTTTTTATTCAGTCATGATTGACAATTACTCAATGTGGTCTTGTTTTTATATTGTTCGATGGGTTTAAAATTTGCATAGTTGCCGTCGATAAGCATTGAAAAACAGCACAACGCCATCTATCAGGTGAAAATGATGGGGCCGCGGTAGCCGAGTGGTATAGGTATCGGATCGTGGCTTGCCTGGTCACGAGTTCGATCCCAGTACCACTAAAGACCCGCCGTGTAGGGCAGCGATGCACGTTAAATCTGTCGAGAGCTGAAACGTCCTCCCAGAGAGGGGGGGTGCCAGCTCAGGTGTCGTCCACGTCACTTGACCATGGTTCAAAATTACGTGGTCCGTCGCCAAAAGCCCTCGTGTAGCTGAACAGTGCGACGTTAATATCAAATCAAATCAGGTGAAAATGATTACATGTTAAAAACCTACATAAGAGGCAATTCCTTTCTAGTTACATTCTATTTTTAATAAAAATTATTTACAGTAAGCTCGTTTCCTGTTTAAATATTTTGCAATGTTCTCGTGTCTGTAATAGACTGATGTAATGTTGTCCCCTCTCTTCTCTTTTTCAAAGGTTTTTTTTTAAAAAAAATAATTATAATAATACTGTATTGTATTTTCTTGTTCATGCATATTTTTTGTATCATTTCCCGTTTATCTCAGTGGACCATTTTGTAACTTTAAGCCCTCTGGTGAGGGAGTTCGATCCTCCCAAATAAATACCTAGGACGTTTTGTAGCGTAGCATTACGTTTCTCCTTCCTTTTAAAATCAGAAAGTACTCAAGCACATACGAAATGTATTGCATAAATTATAAAACTGAAATTAGGGATAAAAAACCCAGTGGTGCGTTTAAGCGCAAACAATGGCAAGAAAGAAGACAGTAAACAAAAATTGTAGCTTTATATATTTAAAATATTCAGATATTTTTACTTTTTTACTTAATCAAATCCAACCAAGATAGGCCCCTCATTTTTTTAGCACGAGGGCCTTTGGTTACCTAGCTACGCCACTGTATATACCAGACCACCAGGATCTTTTTTTTTTTGGTAAAGTTATTACTTGCGCTAATATTTGAAAGCAATCTTTCGGAGAAATCATCGTTTCATTCAGAAGTTCCTTATTAGATCTCTCTGAATCCATTATTAGAGGGAATAAGAATTTTAATACGACAGAATAGGATCAATCTTACCAGCAATGTTTGTAGATGTTTTTTTTATTTATCCTTCAGCCGAAATTAAATGCATAAAATGCAAACTAAATTAAACTAGCTGCATGGCCCGGCGTTACACACGGGCTTTCTCTACTTTTATAAATTTTCCCTTTCCTTCACAAAATCAGAACTTTTAATACACTTTTTCAAAATGACTTCCACCCCCACCCCAGCTCCTCCGCTTAGTCTCCGGACTTTTACCGAGTGTATAACTTAAAATTCCCTGTTTCGAAATTTTTTCGCTTCTTTTCTTTGTCAGACGGGTTTAATTCCCCACGGCGTTGCACAAACATTTTTAAATGCATAACATATTGTCATGGAAATTCCTCTTCCCTTCTCGCTATCAGAGCTCTTGAGTAAGTGAACAGTGGGACTTAAAATATCACTCACTCACTTTGCAACTTTTTAGGCCCCGGAAACGAAAATGTACCTTTATAAAAAAAGTTGTAAGTTGAAAAAAGTAGAAATTTTTATAAATACAAAATTTCACTATGTATTATATGTTGAATTAAAATTGTGAGCATTTTTTTGAAATGTTCGATACGAGGAAAAGAAGTTTCATACAATTATTTTTATAAATAAAAAATGGAACAAAAATAATGCTAAAATATTTCTCGCAAAAAGGGAATAAAAACGAAAAACAACAATTTTTTTTTAAAACCTTAATTTTTAAGCAATTTTTTTCAATCTTTGTACAGATTACAGATAATATCGTTCTACACACGGAAAAAAAAGTTTCGTGCGATTATTTTTTTTTATATAAAGAAGTTATTAAGTATTTAAATAAAATTTTGAGAATTTTAAGAAATATTTTCCGCAATTTATTTTTTAAATCAGTAACTCTAAAAGATCAAACTATGAGTTTTTTAATAACCATTTTCATGTAAAGGCATCGATATTGATTCATTTTAGAAAAAATCTTAAATTATGTAAAGTATCATTGTTTTATAAAGAAAAAATTAATAAAAAAAAACTGTATCGTGACGAAATAAATTATCTTTCCAATTACAAACTTGCTGGCAAATTTTTTAAATGCGCGAATAAAATTTGGAGTATTTTTTAAAAAATCATAAAATTTAAGCGTCAGTTCTTAACCCGGGTACTATTTTTTATGAAGAAGCGCCTTTAATGTTTACGCCATACTTAGGGGGAAAGCAGTGAAAAGACTCAAAATAAAAGGAAGCGATGTTCAATTTCGCATTATGTTATTTGCTTAATTTAAACATTTTTTTTTCGGGCTTCATTTTTAAGTTAATGCCTTCAAACTTCATATATCGATTGAAAACAACGGTAATTTTTGAACAAATAATGTAAGAAAAGTAATGCAGAAACTCGCATATTTATCGCAAAAAGGGGAAAAAAGAAAACCACAATTTTTTTTAAGTTTAGTCATCAGTCTTCAGTTCTAATTTGCTACGCTGTTGGAAAATTGACAGAACGATTGTTTTTGAACCTACAATCCAGGAAGGAACATGGAGAATCGTGGGATAAGAATCGCATACGTTTAAAAAACAAATCAAATAGTTTATAGTCAATGAAGATAAAGATAGGTCCCTTTTTGCGTGCCCCCTTCAAGGAATGTGCTTTATATTTCTTTTACGAAAGAGAGAGAACCGAAAATTCTAGGCAAATGTTACACATTCATAACGAGGTAAGGATCTTGTTAAATTCGTGAAAGAATGGGTGAATTTCAATATTAAAATTCAGAACATTATTTGTTAATTTTAAAACTGTTTTACACATACTTTTAGAGTTTTATAACTTGGAAACCTACGATAAAATGAACACCAAGTTCCACTTCGTTGATTCGGAAATTTCTCCTTTATAACGAGAATGAACAACATCGTAATAAGAGTTCCAACTGAACCGAACACTTTAGTCAATGGCCACAACATGCTGAAAACACCAGTTCTCGTTCGTTCACTGAAGTTAAGCATCATTGGGTACTGTCAGTACTTGGGAGGATGACCACCTGGGAACACTGCGTGCCGCGTTGTGGCATTCTTTCTTTCTTACCTGAGTGGTGCTCTAAATTAAGGCTAACGACAAGCGTAAAACTCTAGTCCCCAGAACCGAAGGCTTCGGACAGGCAGGACTCACAATTTGTGTGTGTGATGACTTTTAATGATTGAAAGAGCGTGTAACGCTTCACGATTTTACGTGTCATCTTTGCAATCTATCGTTCAAATTGATGGTTTATTGCCAAGGCAATTGTGGACATTCATATAGGTCAAATTTTATATATAATTTACTATATTTTGATTAACAAAAAAAGTGGTGTATTACGACAAGTTATTCTTGATAATAGAAGAAATAATAGTCTTAAAATCTTCACTACCGAGTTATTTGAATTGCTTCAACAGATAACCAGCATTTTTACTACATTTGAGAAGAATCCTCCTAATTGTACGAGCAATTATTTTTAGAAAAAGTGACAATGTGTTAAAGTCGCTGATGAATAATCAAATAACATTACTACATTCAATAAGAGCTTGTGTGTTTGGGGGAAAACACACACTTGAGCCATATTATTTACTCATGAAACCAAATGACGTGTGACGAAAGTACTGCTCCGAGTGCAAACTTGAAATGCGATTGAAAATAGAGACAGACATTGGCATCAGAGGGCTGCGATCGCACTAGAACTGCATTGAGATAATATTACTCTAAAATTTTGAAATTAATTCACATTTATCAGGCACTTATGACGCTGAATTGTTATTTTTTTTATATAACTATATTTAAAACTAAGTAAATGTAAGTTTACTATATATATAGAATCAGTATAATTTATTACATAAAATTTAATCTTGGGATTAGCATCCTTCGCCATCAGTATAAGAAACAAAAATAATATTCTGTTCCTCCAGCAAAACTAAAATTGAAAAATAATACAGGTAAATTGAGAACTCTACCCGTATATTTGCTTAAAGTTTCATCATATCCTTCGTATTTAGAAGTTTTATTTTTATATATTTATCATGCAAATATCAGGGCACTATATTTTCTGCCACTGGAGGCGCAGCGATCGCAATCAACCGGGTGATTATGGTAAAAAGTAGATACAGTTAAATATAATAGTTCTTAAAATAATATATATATATATAACCTTTTAATCTCTTTTGTGCAAGAAAATTTAAAATCTATGAAACTTAAGGGTTTTTTTTTTTTTTTTATCAGATCAAACAATTTACGTTATACACAATAACATAAGTTACAAAAACACTTTTATACACCACAAATTCTTTTATTTGCTCATCACATTTAAAGTCTCTGGTAAAGTCAGTATTGATGGAAAATAGAACTGCAAACGCTCTCCCTCTGTTACTACGACCGACCGCCACGTGGCATATTGATTCGGCAGTATCTTGTTATTTTCCCCTCCCCATATTGATAGTGCATCTATTATCTACAGCCCTTGTCAGGGCTAACCTGCTTGAGCAGACACTGTAATTCTCCCCTATTTTTTGACCTGATAACAAATGGAAATGGATAATCGAAACGAACCCACGGATATGGACTTAATCGACTCGCCCAGACGAACACCAACTCCTCCACCTCTTTCGGCATGTGAGCAGATTTTACAAACCAAAGCCCAGCTGCAAAAGATGGAGACTTTCAAAAGTTCAAGCTGGCCTGCATCGCTGAACTTCAAGCCATGCCCGATCACCACCCGGATGAGCCTTTCTACAGACGTGCCGTTTCGGAGCTTCAAGAAGTTGAAGAAACAATTAACTTGGCGGTAAGTGATTTAGCCTCATTTCCTCCTTGTGTTTCCCCTGGCTGCCCTCATCATGATTCAGGATTGAAAATTATTACGCCTAAAAACTCCCCAGATGTAACTCCTACTAAAAGAGTATTAAACCTTAATAGTAACAGGATTTCCAATAAAAGAAAAGAAGAATCGGACTTTGAATATCCTCCTCTAAGGAAGACAACTAAAAGCAAATTTTAAATATTCCAAATGATAGCATTTCGATTTCCCCAAATAGATTTTCCTTACCTAGTGATAGCAATATAGAAGAAATCACAGGTTCTCAAAACGCTATTCCGTTGTTACTCCCAAACCCCCATCGGCCACTGGCCCTACCCCTTCCGTCAATCAAAACCCCGTTAGTACGCTTCCCCCTCCAGTCATGCTTAGAATCACTGAAACTGTCAGAAGTCAAATGAAAATTATTAATGAAAAGTTCCCTAAGATAAGATCCCGTACAACCGGAGAATTTATTAAACTTTATACCGATAACTTAGAACAATTTCATGAACTGTTAACTTTTGCTAAAAAAACTAAATTCCAATTTTATGAAATTAAACCCAAAAACGAGCGCCCCATCAAGGTTGTACTGAAAGGACTGCCCCGCAACTTCAAGGTCGAAGAAATTCAAGCCGACTTAGAAGAACTAGGCTTTACCCCTGAAAAAGTAAATCAGCTAATAGGCCGCCGTAGTAAACAACCTATCCCGGTATTTCTGGTGACTCTCCCAAGAAGTATTGAGAATTTAAAAAATCTTCCACTTAAAAACCCTAAGTTACTTAAGCATTCGTGTGGAAGGTTACAACGGAAAAGGTGTCACGCAATGCTACACGTGTAACCACTTCCATCATAATTCAGAGAACTGTCATCTAAACCCCCGCTGCTTAAAATGTGGTGAGGGACATATTACCCGTGAATGCCCAATAACCGAAAGGCTAGAAACTGCCTACTGTATCAACTGCGAAATGTACGGCCACATGGCTAACTGGAGAGGATGCCCCTGTTTCCCAAAGCCCCCTAAGGGCACTGCCCTGAATAATCGTAATTCGTATACTAATGTATACAATAGTATTATAAGACCCAATGTATCCTATGCTCAAGCCGCAAATCCAAATAAAACTTCAACCAACTTTAACTCCCAAAATAAACAACCGATGGCACCAAAAGGACCTGTGAATTCTGCTCAAATTGAGGCCAATAGAAATCCCTCTGCAAATAACAGATCCATTCCAAATTTTAATAACAAGTCTAATAATAACTTTAACGGATATAACTTTAACGGAAATATTTTTAATAATAATAATTTTAACTTGCAAGCGACCCTACAAATGACTATGCAATGTTTGTGCCAACTTTCTCAATTTACCCAAGCCATAGCTACTTCAAATCCTAATTTCATGAATAATTTTAACCAAGTGCAAAGAGCAAACAATAACCCAAATCAAATGTACGCCTTATTAGAGGCCTCTTGTAACAATAATAATGGTTAAGTCCCCCATTGGCCTCAATTTGTGTTCTTGGAACGCAAACGGACTGCTTAGACGTAGAGTAGAGCTACGAATTTTTATAGAGAAGCACTCTCCCGATATTTTTCTCATACAGGAAACTCATCTGAGACCTTCGCACACTTTTACAATAGCAAATTACACTTGCTACAGAAATGATAGGATCACTAACGCAACGGCCGCCGGCGGAACTCTTTATTCTTATCAAAAAATCTCTTAAACATTACTGTCTCCCCACCCCACCTATGCAAGCTATTGAAGCGACTAACATTATTCTAACTCCCCTCGACCATGACCCCGTTTCTATTGTCTCTGTTTACATTCCCCTTCCTCTGACGATAACTTATTTACAATAGATTTAGAATATTTTCTCCAAACGAGTAGTCATTGTGTCGTCTTCGGCGATTTCAATGCTACTCATAGCGCTTGGAATTGCAATGTAAACTCAAACAGAGGCAAGCATCTTTTTAATTTTGCCAATATCTTAAATCTGCACATAGCTTTTCCTGACTCTCCCACAAGATTTGGCCATAACTCAGCTAATACAATAGACTTTGCTTTAATCAAAAACTTTTACTACCCTTATACTATTAAATCTATTAATGATCTATATTCTGACCACAACCCTGTTTTCCTAAATTTCGATTTTAAACTTAAAGTGGAATCCTCAAATCCTAGAGCAATTACCACCAACTGGAAGGATTTTAGAATTAATTTAAATAATAACTTCTCTCTTTTTAACTACTATCCGAATAATATTAATAATACCAACGATCTTGAAACCAAAATTACAGAGTTCACTGAAGCGGTCGTCGCTACCCATAGCCACGCCTCCCAGCCAATAGTGAACGCTCACCGAAACTACACTCCAAATCACATTAATCAACTTATTAAGCATAAAAACAACCTACGTAAACGATATCAGCAGACTTTAAATCCTTTTTATAAAACTTTATGCAATAGAGCTCAAGCCAACCTCAAAAAAGAACTTAAAATATATAGTAATGATACTTGGAATGCTAGACTAGAAGCTCTAAATACAACTGACAATAGCCTCTGGGAGGCACAGCGGTTCTTAAAAAATAAAAAGATCTCAAATTCCTACGTTGAACTGTGCTACTGGTATGGCCGTCACTGATCCGCAGAAGGCTAACCTCCTTGCTAATACGATTAAAAATAACTTCATTGAAAATAACCGCATGCAGGACAACTACGATCAGGATGACGAGGTTGTCACCTCTGCTGTGAATACCTTTCTCTCTTCCCCCCTTCTACTCAAATTGAACCTGTCATGCCTGATGAAATTATTAACTTCATTAAAAATACTAGCTCTAAAAAGGCCCCGGTAAAGATACTATCACAAATAAAATGCTAAAAAATTTTCCTATCAAATTAATCCTCATACTAACTATTCTTGTCAATAAAATTCTTAAATTTCATCACTTTCTAGTAACTGGAAAGAAGCTATCATTTTCCCTATTATTAAACCTGGTACAAATAAAAATCTTCCTAATTCATATAGACCTATTTCTCTCCTTTCAACTTTAAGTAAATTAACTGAGTACATTATTCTTAATAGACTTAAAAATTCATTAATGATAATAGCCTAATTAACCTAATCAATATGGATTTACAAATAAACTATCTACCCTTCATCCTCTTCTCAGACTAACAGAAACTATTTCGGAAGGTTTCCAAAAAAGAAGAGCACGGGAGTGGTCTTTCTGGATATCCA